CCTGGGAAAGTGGGAATACTAATTTACAAAGGGATATGCGATAAAAAGTTGTTTCATTATCATTTCTCTCAACTATATTTAATTATGCAAGTTTCTCATGATAAAAATAATTTTCATTATAAAAATTTTAAAAGTACAGAGAAGGGGAAAGAATTGAAATTTAAAATTTCCCACAAGCCTGTAATGAGCACTTGATTCTTCCACATGAATTGATTTAAAATTAATATAATAATGTGTATAATTAGGTTTCCTGCTTTGGGTCAATTAACATTACAGGCTGAGCATTTTCCAAGGTTACTAAATATTTTTAAAACACAATTTCTACTTGCTGTATAAAGTATAGCATTTCAATTTTCCAGGAATTGGAGTGTAACTTTTCCTCTTCTGTTTAAACTGGCGTTCTCAATTTATGCAATTGTAAACAGCAATATTGGGATAACTATTTATACATGAACTTTTGTCTCACCTGCCCAAATCTCTGATATTTCTGTAAAATAAATTACAGATAAGCAGTCTCCAATCCTCATACCTTGTCAACTGTATTTTATAGAAGAATTTGACTATTTATCTAAAAACGTGTCTTCAGGGACAAGTTCACAGATAGCTCCGATAGTAATGCTGTTAAGTTGGGTGGCGTTAACTTCATTATTAGAGGCAAAAACACAGCAATTCCTTCTAAATGAATCAAACATCATATAATTTTTCATTAAGTAAACGCACTGGGCATCATTTTTGCTTACTTCATCTTTACATAAAGCAGGTGTCAGCAAATGTTCGCTATTGTTACTATAATCACCTCCTACTATGGTTAGGCTATGCACACAAAACTTTAAACCCTAGTGAATAAATGCCCTATTAAACTATATAGCTATATATTGACCAATGTATTTAGTATGAACTATGATCTCTGCACTGTGATAAGCATTAGTCCTGCCCAAAGATTGGAAATATCATTTACTGTTCTAAAATGCTTATTTTTCCTTCTATTCTTTTCAGATTTATAAACAGAAACTCCAAGAGAGGCATTTGTGCTGTTTCTATATTTTCTGTCCCTTAAATAACTTCCTTTGGAAAAGAAAACAAAGTGCAAAAAGTGAATCCTAGATCTATAGGCATGATAGGCAGATTGCATTTTCTTAACACTGCAGATTAATGAATGCCTGGCAATGAATGAATGATTATTTCAAAGACAAAGAAAGCATTTTGCTAGACATTCTCTCACCTGATCAATGGTATGTAAAATTGAAATGTGGGGTATGTATGTTTGAGTTTGTATGTTTCAGAGATTGAAAAAGATAATTGGAGACAAAAGCCATGCACATTAGCAAAAGCAAACACCACAAAAGACAATAGGCATAGCGTAACCTTACAAGGATGAAAATAATAATTCAGCCACAATATTTAATAGCAAATGTTTAAAAATGTGAACTTGGTGGACTTGAATAAATACTGAATTGAATTTTTCAAAATAATATTCTGTACACTGGATAGAATCTATTCAATCTATGCCACCCTAGAGTTTGGAATGGCAAAGCAAGAGAACACCAGTTGAAGATATACATGTACTTAAGATTTTAGAAATCATTTTTCAAAAATTTAGGGAAAATAGCCCAGCTGGCGTGCTTCAGCAGTTGAGCATCGACCTGTATGATCCAGGAGATTCCCGTTCAATTCCCCCTCAGGGCACATGCCCAAGTTGTGGGCTGGATCCCAGCAGGGGGCATGCAGGAGGCAGCTGATCAATGGCTCTCTCATCATTGATGTTTCTCTCTCTCTCCCTCCCTTTCCCTTTCTCTCTCTCTAAAAAATTAGGGAAAATATCAGTAAAATCTTAGATCTTAGAGTAGATTTAAACACGCTTAAATACATGAAGAATACATTTCTACGACACATGATCTGTATATTGCATTGTGTGTGTCCTTGAGACCCACATGATCTTATTAACTAATATTACCCCAATAAGTTTAACTTAAAAAAAGTTTTTTTAAATATTTGAAGACTTAGCTAAATTATACCCAACAGTACTAAAGAGCATGCAGATGTAGTTGTAGAAAAAATGAGAGTAATATTTTTAAAATTGGTATTATTGGAAATATCAAAGTTTCAAGATATATAGTAGCCCCATTTTTAAGAGAAATTTAATTTCCCAATATTATGAAGTCTGATAAGCTAAGGATCAATACTCACCAATATTCTGAAATGTATTATTAATGAAAATCTGCGTGGATTCATTCACAATAAATCTACAAATAACTGTGAATAGACTCTTCTATTAGTCCTTTCTCTCATCATTGTTATGTCTTAAGTTATACAATTCACAAACTTAGAAAAGCTCAAAGGGATAGCTAGTTCAATGGATGACATTAAAAAATATTCTGAGAAGACAGAACAATGGACTTCAATAAAAGTTAGGACCTTTATTCATGATAAATGTAAAAGTTTGTATATAGATTTAAAAAATCAGCAAATATATTCTAGAGGTTAGAGACCTGACATACCAATAGTTTTGAAAAAAAAACAAACAAAACCCACTTTGTATGTTAAGTAAGCATGTACAAATTCAACATGCATAAAAATATAATGTGAATGACCAAAAATGAAGCAAATTCAAGCATTTTAGAATATGTTAGTAGAAGTAGTACTGCAGTCATGGGTAATAATGATTTCAAAACTTTAAATCATACCAAACAAATTTGTAGTGTGGGGATAAAACAATAAATAAATAAAATTACTTAAGACACTATCCCTTTTTTAGGAGCTCACAGTCCAAGGGGGAAAACAGACACAGAAATATATTTGGAGTATTATTTTCAATTTTTGTCACTGTATTTTGAAAGATGACATCATTATTCATTATTAAAAACAATCTATTGTAATATGTCAGGCCCTGTCTCTGAGAAAAACAAATTAGTGTCCCCATTTTATAAATGGAACCACTGGATTGAGATTTTAAAAAAAACAGCAACAAAAACCTCACCCACAGACAAATAACTAGTAAGTGTTACAACTGATAAAGGACCATAGAACTTTCTGCCTTGGAATTACTGCTCTTAAAAATAATAGTGTATATAGATCAGTATTTATTAAAGTGTGCCCTGCTGAACCAGTGTTTCATAGGATATTATTACGTACCCAAAGAAAAAGATTCTGTAGTCAAATAAATTTGAGCAAGACTAGGTTTCTTTATTATAAAGCCTTTCCAAGACTTTAATATTCTGATATGCATTGTGAGTCTCCTAGAGGATGGTCTAACAGGTAGACTTTTCAAATGCACTTGACCTTAGACTGTTTATTGTGAGGGCTAACGTTCCACGGAACAGCCATTGGGAAACTCTGGCACTCCAGAAGACCAAGAAAAATCTAAACGTCAGGAACTAGAAATATTCAACCAGGAGACAAAGGGGCCTTAGAGGAGACATGATAGCTATCTTTAAATATCTGTCTTATCCAAAAAAAGACACAGTATTTCACCAAAGGGAAGGGCTAGATCTAATGAATAGAAGCTACCGGAGATGGATCTCATCTCAACATAACATTTCAATAAAAGTTAAAAGAAAATGTAAAAGCTGCCCAACAAAGGTGGCAAATCACCTGTCAAGGTGTTACCCAAGCAATTTTATCATTGAGTGAATGGTCTGAGAACTCTGCTAAGCTCCCTGCTTTACTCTTTTATTTAATGGTTAATTTACCGCAACTATCAACTGAGATTTCCATACATTTAGTATTTCAGATTCTCTGTTCACTTTTATACCATTTTGAATTAAACATTCTAGAAATAGAAGACACAGGTAAACTGTCAGACCTATTGTAAATACAATGTCTTACATCAAAATACACAACGTTCTATTTAGATTTTCCAGTTCTTTGTGATTCAGTCTAGGAAGATTATATATTTCTAAGAACTTGTCCATTTCTCCTAGGTTATTGAATTTGGTGGCATATAGTCTTTCACAGTATTCTTGTATGATTTTTTGTATTTCTGTGGTGTCCATCATAATTTCTCCACTTCTATTTCTGATTTTGTTTGAATCTTTTCTCTTTCTTTCCTTAGTGAGTCTAGCCAGAAGTTTGTCAATTTTATTAATCTTTTCAAAGAACCAGCTCTTTGGTGCATTAGTTTTTTGTACTGTCTTTTTGTTCTCTATTTTATTTAATTCTGTTCTAATTTTTATTATTTTCTTCCTTCTGCTGCTGTTGGGTGGCATTTGTTTTTCTTTTTTTAGTTTTTTAAGGTGTAATGTCAGCTTTTTTATTTGGGATTTTTCTTGCTACTTGAGATAGACCTATAATGATATAAACTTTCCTTTTATTATGCTTTTGCTGCATCCCAAAAGTTTTGATATGTTGTATTGTTATTCTTATTTGTCTCTATGTGTCTTTTGATCTCTCCTTTTATTTCTTCTTTGACCCAAAGCAATGAACAAACAAAAATTCATAAACACAGACAACAATATGGTGGTTACTAGAGGAAAAGGGGTGTGTGGCGAAGACAGTAAAGAGTAAAAGGGTCAAATATATTATGACAGGGTTTGACTTTGGGCGATAAACACACAATGCAATATACAGGTGATGTATTACAGAATTGTACACTTAAACCCTATTAATTTTATTAACTAATGTTACCCCAATACATTTAATTTTAAAAATACACATAATGACACAATTTACACTTAATGCCAATGAAAACCAAAGTCGCTCTTCTCCAATTTAAAAAACACCAAATGATTTAAATCATATGATTATGAAGTTCCTGTGTGCAAAATAAAATGGAAGTTTTCTCATCTACAAAATGACATGAGGCCTGGAAAGCACATGTGGGCAAGCAAGGGACCATGTAGTGCACAGAGATTGGTGTCAGGAGTAGGGAAAAGCTGGGGAATGTAGAAGACACTTTTCAGATCTATTACTCTTAATGTGCCTGTACCTGGCCATTACACCCCAAAAAGTGATTTGATAGATCACATTTGTTTGCTAAAATAAGTTAGATATAAAGCCCATACCTATTTGCGTATTCCTTAATGATCTGATATATGCTAATCTTAATTGTTTCATTTTCAAATCGATTGTTGCTCCGGTCCTTGTATATCCGGAATTCAGCTGCTGTGACGGCTTCTCCGTGAGGGATCTGGGTAAGATCAAAGCGGAATTCTTTGTAATGCCTTCGCTGGTGAGAAAAATCTTTGTCTCTTTCAACTGAAAAAGAAAAAGAAGAAAGGAGAGGAAAAAGTGAGCCCTTTATAAAATATGGAAATTAACGGTAAATTCTCCAGCTTTGCAATTAAAACAAACACGCAGGATATTATAAAACTGGGAAAACACTAAAACCACAGACTCATACGTGTTTCCAGTTGAGAGAAACTCCACAAACCAACAACCTTTAGTTCAAAAGCAATATAACTTCTGTGGTTTTGTACAAATGCCTGGATCCTAAATGGAAAGGCTATCCAAAAATGTCTCTTAAAAGTGAAGGTTGTGAAGTGATTACTAGTATGTATCCAGTACCAGAACACAGAGGGTTCATACAGGATCTAGGAATATGTTATAGAACCTTCCAGAGCTCCAGGGGAAGTTGGTGGTGATATTTAGCACAGCCAAGGGAGGAAAATAAGAAGAAAGAATGAGAAATCGTGGGCACACAAGGACAGTGTTGATGACGCTTTAGAGGTGAAGTACACAGAGCAAATTCATTTTCAGAATAAAGATGATTTCTAAAATGTCTTCCCCTTTCAGCAAATGAAATGTGTTTTTTTTAAATGCTCTTCCATTAGTTCTCATAGGTTGTTTAGTGCAACCTCTTTACCTGTATACTGCACAAAGCCCCCCAAACACCTCTTTCTGCTCTTCCTCAGAATCGAGAGGGGAATATATTTCCCCCATTCAGCAACCTTCCCTTCAAATAAAGTCAGAGGACATTGCCTTTAGGGATGTTAAGGGATGTTGAAGAATTTCGCAGAGTAGGTGTCCTGTATATTACTAATCTGGCTTTGTAAAGAAGTTTATTATTTTATACAGTCTGTATCTACTGGGTACCAAAAACTTTCTTACAAAACCATCTATTCCAAGGGTTCATTTGCAGTGAGGTGATACATTTGATGGAGTTAAGTTTCTCAGTGTTGGTAAGTTTCTCAAAATCTCAGTTATGTAGGATAATACAGAACAGGATAACAGAAAGTCCACTGCAAAACACTGCGTGCGCGGTGTCTCACAATTACAGCCTATAGTGATGTTTTAAATGTTNGTTTCTCAAAATCTCAGTTATGTAGGATAATACAGAACAGGATAACAGAAGTCCACTGCGTGCGCGGTGTCTCACAATTACAGCCTACAGTGATGTTTTAAATGTTTCCAGTGACATGTCTCATTGCTAAAACTGTGTTTCAAGAAAATAAAAAAATGTATAAGTTGTATAAATACATTCACCAGGTTCAAAAATTGGATTAAAATACAAAAATATTTTTAGGAGTTTAATTGAAATTATGTCAACATTGCTATAGATATGAGAAACTAGGGATCCTTGACTAGAGAAGGGGCTAAGCTTAAGAAGGCGAAGGTCACTGCCACCCAGGACTGACTGGGAGGGAGGCTGCTAGGCATCGGCGTCCCGGTGCCCGGCGGGTTCCACATCTGAGAGGAAGCTCCTGACAAAGGCACCCGCGATCCTTTGCCTTCAGCATCCAAAATAATCTCTGGTTTACTTCTCCCAGAAGAGTAGGCAGTGGTTAGAACCAGCAGCTCATCCCGCCCCCCACAGACACCTGAGGCAGCGAAGGGAAAATATAAGCTATGCCTGGAGGCATTTTGTCCTGTGGAGCTTGACCAGGGCGGTGCTCTCTTGGGCTGCCTGGCTCACACTAACACTCCTCACAGGATTCAAAAAGTTCTGTTTTCTAAAAATATCATTATCTTAGTCCTAAGAGAGGTCTATTCCCAGGGAGATTATTTAAAACACTTTTCCTTAAATAGGGATGATACCCTCATTTTTAGAATCCTATTTTGGTCCATAATTTAAACCTCTTTTTTGCGCTAAACTTCTGCTGGCAACAGTGGAGATGGCCATGAACTTGGCCCCTTTTTTCCATTTGTCCATTCTCCTGATTGAGCCATTTGTGAGGGAATGTGTAAGGGTAGAAAATACCTAGAAACTGGGCATCTAGTCACTGAAAGCACATGTATGAATATTAAAACCAGCCACAGCTTTTGTTTACAGGGAACTAAATTTAATTCGATGTAAACTTGTTCTTTTCTGATCTTAACTTAAAGTAGATGACATTATGAAACAATCATGTTTTACATGAAACAGCTTTAAATAGCACTTATTTAGATGCCAGGCACTGTCCTAAGTACTTTTAAACATTAACATATCACACTTCATGACAACCTCTGAGGTAGGTTCCACCATTATCCTCATTTTGAAGATGAAGAAACCGAGGAGGCATAGAGGGTAAACTCCTTGCCAAAGAGTTGAACCCAAGCTTTCGATGCCACCAGGCTGTGGATCTTAAATGCCAAATATACCGCTTCTGCTTAAAGACTATTTATTACTTTGTCCTAATTTATGAAGTATTTATGCTTTAATAAAGATCTAAAACGTCACATTCACAAGTTCAAAATCCAGAAAGCTCTGAAAACGCAGAGTTTGGCTTCAAGTTCATTTGGCAGAAAAGCTGGAAATTAACCGATTTGAGGTCATTTCAAGTTTCTATTTATTCCACTTTAATATGAATATTTATTGCTTTGCTCCAGAAATGTTCATTTGTGCGACGAGGTGGCACTGTCCCAGCTCTGCTTGAGGAGTTCCACACTTTATGGCACGTACGCCAACCAGCCATTCAGAAATATATTTTCTCTATTCTGAAAGTCAATATTGAAAATTCTAAGTGGTAACAATCATTATCTAATTTTTCATTAGCAATCAATTTTATATTTGAAATTAGGACCAAAATAACTATAGTTCTAGAAATAAGGGCTGAGGCATGAGTTTGTTGGGATCCAATCTAAAGCATGCACCTGGATAATGCAGATGAGTTTTGAATTCATGTTATGTAAAGTCATCTACTGTTCTGGAATCCCCTGTGAGATGTTAGTGTAATAAAGTGGAAAGCTAGAATTTCAACTGTTATTATAAAATTTCAGTTTTATAATCCAGGCTATTTAACCTAACCCCTTAAGGGGGCAAATTTTCAAAGAGTTTCATAAAAATTTATATTAAATATACCACACAGAATAAAGTTGCAGTGCAGATTTGTCCAGTGATTCAAAATCCTATATCCTACTGCTTTGAATTATAATTTCACTAGTAAATTTCATGGGACATGTTGGAGTGAGTCATGGAATAAAACTTGTATTTCTAGAACCTTGCGCTCCTAATGATGCTCACAAATATTCACAAGGCAATCTCAGTTACCTCAAAGAGTCATGCTAGGGAGGGCCAAATATTAACACCCCTGATTTAAGAATAAGAAATTGGGTGATGACAGCTAGGTGGGAACAGATGTCTGTCTTCTAAAGCTCATTATAAATCTTTGTTCAATGTCCATACCACCTACATCATGACATCCTGCTGTTCTGTACTTAGAGACTAGTTCATTGTTAGTGTATTTAAGCAATGTTTCTCAGCAGTACACAAAAAAAGTGGCAAATAGGGTGGAAAATCAGGGATTTGATCATCAGTATATAATTAACATCTAACACAATATATTGCCTAATTCAAAGATGTCTCCTAATCAATATTGGTTGAGAGAAAAACTGTGTAAATGGATCAAATCAGGTTCTGTCTCTTTACTCAGCATCTTTGCTGCTTTCCCCATTGACTAAAGACATAATAATTTATTTAACTCTCATTTATTTGGCGCATATTTGGTTTAATCCACACAACCTAACTTATGTCCATAAGATTCTATGGCGTGCCCAAGAAACCACAATGTATAATTTGGAGAGAACAGGTTTGATCCCAGGATCAAGATTTCCATTCCTAAGTCCTGGACATCACAGCACTTTGCTTGTTTGTTTTCCCTGGATTTAGTTTAGTTAGTTAGTTAGTTTTAGCTAATTATCACTCAGGAAAGTTGATCTTCTTCTAATACTTTCACTTGCCTCTATGATGCTCCTACTGTAGATGCCATACTCTCTGAACTCTTCTCATTCTTCTAGAACTCACTCCTTCCAGACAGTCTTAGCAAATGTTGTACTGTATTTACTTATTTAATATTAATTCTATAGCTTATCTAAGAAAATTTTTATGAATAAACAATGATTGTATTCATAACTTGAATTAATATTATCTAATATTTATACTAGTGTGTGAGGTCATTCTTTTACTACAACCATATTTTAAAATAATTGTAATTCACCATCTGGAACCCTTCATACTTCAACCTTTTCCCTACCATACACACTACCAAAAACAACACTCCTAAAACAGATGAAAAAAATATATACACACATATTTTGTATTCCTTAAGTGCAAGCTTTTTATAGGAGCTACCCATGCCTTCTTTATATTGTAATGATTAGGGTCAGTATTAAGTATTCTCTTTCTCTGTATATTACAGTGTGCTCTAACCCACTGCAATTGTAAATGGCTTGGGAAGCTTAAAAGCATTAATAAAATTTAATGTCTACTATTCTTGGTTTTTAAATTCATATTGTGTTAAATATTTGGTCCTTTCAATTCACTCTATAATTTACATGTTATATCAACTAACCACCATGAGGTTCCTAAAAAATATTTACTATCATTTCTAATAATATTACTAGATGAAAATGTGAAAGAACCCATAAAAACCACAATTGCATTCCTATTTGGTGGGAGAAAAGACTCTCTTAATTCCTGGACAAAATGATGAAAAACAAATAAAACAAGACAGCAGGAGAGTTAGCTCATTCAAGGGAGAACCTGGACTTGTCAGGGAGATAGAGTGAAAAAGTGTTAAAACAGACTATGATCAGAAGGTTAATGCTTATCTCTAGTGGAGGCCATTTGCTTATCCCATGCCACAGACACCATTTCCCTCATGTGAAGTGGAAAAGAGAGTTTAGGAACAAATATAACTAGATTTACAACACACATCCTGTTCCAATCAATTCACCTATGAAAATTGTATTAAAAAGAGTACACAATGACCAGCCTAGACTGCCATTTTCATATCTGCTTACATATCTAACACGATCAAAAGGCTATATTTTGCCAAACA